GCCTCACAGCGAGACGAAGATACAGCAGGTATTACGAAGACGAGTGCGGAGTCGGCAGGAGTATCAACGGAAGTACACTGACAGCACGAGGAGCGCCAAGCTACCCTCGCACGACGCCGGGGACTGGGTCAGGTACCGCCGGGTACCTCGGCCAGGGAAGGGGCGCCATCGATTCTTCGAGCCGGGGCAGATCTCGGCTCGCCGAGGGGCATCTAGTTACGGACTGGTCTACAGTACCAGGGTACACGCCGAGCGCCTCACTCGCTGAACAGCTACACCTGATCATCAGCCAGCGGAGCAGCCTGCTGAGCTGTCTGTGAGACAGCAGCCGAAGCACCAGCGGAGCGGAGAAAGTGCATCCTGGTCGCCTCAGCGAGTTGCACCGGGTGTGCCGGCAGCGACGACGACGGCGGTCGCGCCTGGTCGCGCTGCGCCGCCGGTGGAGACGGCGGTAGCGCCTTGTCGCGCTGCGTCTCGGCAGTGGAGACGGCGGTAGCGCCTTGCCGCGCTGCGTCGGCAGTGGAGACGGCGGTAGCGCCTTGTCGCGCTGCGTCGGCGATGGAGACGGTGGTAGCGCCTTGCCGCGCTGCGTCGGCAGCGGAGACGGCGGTAGCGCCTTGTCGCGCTGCGCCGCCGGTGGAGACAGCGGTAGCGCCTTGTCGCGCTGCGTCGGCGGTGGAGACGGCGGTAGCGCCTTGTCGCGCTGCGTCGGTGGCGGCGCTCGCGGGTTACGAAGCTGTGACTACGGTGCCCGTATCGTCTGCTGGAACTGTGCAGGGGAGCCGGAGCTTTCCCCGGGCCGGACCGGCTCAGCATCATCTCTGCCGGATGCAGAGCCAGCAGGAGACGCTGAGGAGCGGCCGTCTGCAGGGGCGACCGCGCGAACGGAGCTGGTGGTAACGGGCGGCGCTGGTGATGAGCTGGACCGGGTGTGCGACGGTAATGGTGACGTGCGTGGCTGCTCTGAGGCGTTTGGGAGGGAGCATACGTGCTCCAGAGCGTTACATATTTTCATAGGGAAAGACATGTAGCGTTTAGGTGTTTTCAAAACTTGTTTCCGTATTTGACGTTAAATCATGGTTGTTCGGCCGCCTAGCGGAAGTTACAGGAACCTGTGTTTGGTCATATTACCGCTGCGGAGTCTACGTGTGGGACCATGGCCTGTTGCGCAGGTTGTCTGTGTGGTAAGGCGTGGCTGGCTGTGTGGCTGTGGCGGGCTGTGTGCCGAGCTTCTTGGGTTGACATTATTGTAAGTTGTTGTTTGATTCAAATATGAAGTGGTAACCTGTGTCAGCGAAGGGAACATAACACCAACTTACTGACCACAGAACACCATATTTTTCTACTTCTGTATTTGTTGCATGGCCGGATGCGCGATAGGACGCGTCTTGAGGCCGCGGCTCAAAACGTGATGCCTCAGGCAGGTTGTCCATCGCCTTCATGATGGTGCACCACGTAGGCGATCTCTCATGGAGGCTCGCACCAACAGCAGTGTGATCAGCGAGAAGACAGCAGCACGGCAATGGTGAGCAGACAGGGCAGCAGCTGCTCGGTCGGTGGCAGCTTTTGCTGGGGTTTATACCAAGAGAATACCGCTCCGGGTCTGAAGAGCAGCTCCCACGGGCCATCGGTGGTGAGCAGCGACAGGGTGGGGCCGCGTCTACGGCTAGGAGTTCTCACCGCGTGGGGGAGCCGAACAGCGCTCAGACCAGCCCCACGAACATGAAGCCGGGGGGACAACCTCCCGTGGCGAACGGACACCCGCATCTCAACTCAACCCGTAGCCGCGGACGGGCGCGGCGGCTCCGGGACTGCAACGCCGTTAACGAGTGGGACGTCGCCCCTCTGCGGGTACAAAGCCAGGCGGGTCCGAAGCCAGCAGAATCCCACGCCGTGTCACAAGCAGCGTTACTTCCTCCCGGCGACAAGTTCTGCCGATTTTTGATATTCAGGTTATTTGAAAATGGTACCATGCTTCCAGGATGCCTTCAGTGGCGTGCAGTTTTGTTTGATATTCTATGACATCCTAAGACATTTAACACCTAGCCAAAGTTAGGCTTAAGACCAGGCAGTATACGGTTCACTGACACAGTAATAATTCCTGTTGTACTCCTCTAAATAACATCGGCTCCCGCGGGAGCCGCCATCCCATTGTTAATCTTAATCTGGGTCAGCACTTGCTGTGACAGACAGCACAAGTATATGCTGGCAGATTCCCGATGCTTATGCCTACACTGGTATTGCATCCAAAGTCTTACTTTTATCATTTCGATTTACACGGTCGTGAAACATCATCACATCACTGCGCCGGATAAGCCATGAAAACAAAATGAACGCGCCAGATAAACAAATTAAACGGCGTGGGAGCGGCAGCTAGGCTCCAATTATCCTTGCCGCTGTCAGCTGTAGGGTCATCCGCAAGTTACATTTTAAATCAAACAGATATGTCTTATACCACCGGTTTTTCGCACACTACTTATTTAAGCAAGAACATGGGGTTTTCCCCGATGCCGCGGAATTAATACGACGGCAATCGCAGTTTCACGGGGTTTCAAACTGTGATGACGCCACTTCCTCCGTCCAATCACAGGATTAGATTGGCGCCCGAATTCGCAACAGGGGCTTAGAAGCAGCGTCTCTTTTTCGTGATGCTGAAGAGACCGGAGCCTGACACCACCAGACCCTGCCCAAGCATACGATCCATTGGTGCCATATTGGCTCAAAAACGGAATTTCCCACCAGCGTAAGACATCCGTCAATCCCGTGTAGAGTCGTCATCACACGTGTGCACTCCTCACTATCGTGCCGTCAACCCCGTGCAGAGTCATCACCACACGTGTGCACTCCTCACTCTCGTGCCATCAATCCCGCACAGAGTCATCACCACACGTGTGCACTCCTCACTCTCCTGTCATCAATCCCGCGCAGAGTCGTCACCACACGCGTGCACTCCTCACTCTTGTGCCATCAGTCCCGTGCAGAGTCATCACCACATGTGTGTGCTGACCACTGTCGTGCCATCAATCCCGTGCAAAGTCGTCAACACATGTGTGTGCTGACCACTGTCGTGCCGTCAATCCTGTATGGAATCGTCACCACAAATGTGTGCTCCTTACTCTCGTGCATACGTGTTGTGAAAATTTGGGGATCTTGCTGCTCTCCGTCTAACCTGCGTACGAGTCACCAGGCAAAAAGACGATAAACAGATAGATATGCATAAGACATACACACATTTTTGTAGATAGAATGGGTCGTTTGAATACGTGGCCAGTACAAAACTGCATCCCCATATTACAGCCGACCTAATTTCACAGTCCGGGTTTTTAGCTTGGTTTTTAACGATTGTCGCCTGGTTCTAAGAAAATAAATCAACAGGAAAATAAATATCCCAGTGGGTATCTTGTAAATGAGTCCTGCATGCAGAGACCTGCAGGGTCGTAATTCCACAAAATGAGTTGAGAATGGGAGGCTGAGCGGTGAAAAAAGCGCAACCAATTTTCTGAACATAGCCAAGAAAGGGCGTCCTCCTAGGATCAGGCCCAATTGATCCTGGAAGTGGGGGAGGGGTCCGGTATCCAAGCTGGGGAGGGGATAAGGTCCCATTGCAAGTGAATGGATAAACCTCTGTATGTCTACATGACGGGCAACAGGATGAGTACCGGCCCAGTGGTGCCATCTATATCAGCCTACTATATGAGTACGTTACGTTTTTGTGAACGTAAGGCCGAGAACAGGGCCGCAGTTGGAGCCTTGGCAAGGGGGGGGGGGCACAGGGTGGACAAAAATTCCCCTAATAGTAAAAGGGCCCCGCCAAAAAATTGCCGGATATAACCTGTGTGCTATTGTAAACATACTTGTCTTGGATAATACAGATATAGATGCATATATGCATATATCATATACCTGAGAGACTCAAGACCGTCGACCAGTGTAAATCGCCTGGCTTTATAGCTGATTGGGAAGTGGATTCTCAGGCCCATACCGACACGGAGCCGACTATGTGGGACGGTGGTACCTGACCAACATATAGGCCCACTGTGACCCAGGGGGGCCCTGATCGGCGAAAAGGGCCCTCTGACCGTTATTTGAGTGTCCTTCTTCGCAGGTCAGGGCCTCTGAATAAGACTTCGATCAGCCCTTTATGCCCTTAGATCCTCCAATCGGGCCCTTGATCGTCGGACCCGGTGGGCCTTCTAAACTCTTCAGGCCTCCTCGAACACTACTTCTGGCCAACTCGAGTCCCATTGGCAACACAGGGCCACTTTTGTGCGCTGTGGGGCATTAAGCAATGTAAATCGTTGGCTCCGGCTTTGCGCCTGCGTGGAAAATGGGTCCAGAGGCCCATGCCACCACGGAGCCGACAATGCGTTACTGGTGGCGTCTGGCCGAAATATAGGCTCTTATCGACTCAGTGGGCCCCTCATCAGCGTGCAGAGCCCTCTGGCTTGCATTGGGGTGTCCGGTCCTGTGAGCCGGAACCCCTGAATGAGACCTCCAGCTGGCCTTCTGGGCCATTCGGGCCCTCAAATTGGGCCATCAGTCCTAGATTCTGAGGGACCCCTAGCGCCGCTTGGAACCTAAGGGGGCACGCGCTCCCTGTGTCCTCCCCTGCCTGCGTTACTGGCCGAGAGCGACGGCAGAGGTGGTCACACAAAGATCCGTTCGCACTCTCCATTCGCTCCTGAGAATGGAAAAAGTCTGTGCATTTCAGCTCCAGCCTATCAGCCTCCAGAATCTGAGTAACATTATTTTCAGCGCTCGGAATTCTCCAGCTTGCGGTGCTGATCAAGGGACTCTGCATCTGGATGCTTATGTAAATAAAGTACCAAATTTCGGTCGAGGAACGATTAAATACTACTCCAGAGAAATTGCCAGCTGCGTGCACAGATTACCTTTTATCGATAGTACCCAGCTTGTATATCGATTATATCGATACCAGTCCGGCCGAAAAACGGGAACATCACGCAAAATTGCCCACCTCTATGTTGCGACGAGCCGTAGCCAGTATCGTGACAGGGGCCGTGCCGTGGGGTGGTGTAACTCATGGGCTGCGCAATCTTGTGATATCGGAAAGAAGTAGTTGTTAAAAGATCTGCGGGGCTCCAAAGTAGGTTGAGCCTCATATTTTCTGTAGGGACTTTCACGTGTGTTGATGGTGCCTTGTGAGCTTGTTTCTCAAGTGCGTCATGATGGTCTCGCCCCCAGGATCACATATGCTTTGTCCGACATTTCCATTCAAATAGAGTTGTATGCTGATATTTGTAGGACTAGGAACTCATTACCTGAATAGATGTTTGGCTTATTGATTGGTCTTATCCATGCCTTTCATGTATATTAATGGTAGGTGCAAATTCGTGATTGGTGTATGTGCCTGTCTTGGTTAATGACTGCCATGCATGCAGTAGAGTTTCACACTTGTTGAGATCTTGATGAAAAGTGTATGACTTCTGTAATTGCTGTCAGATGTGGCCTGAACTTCAAAGATGTGGTTGCCTTAGATGGGATAAACAGAAACTTTAAAAATGAATTGGACCCCAGTGAATCCTATAAAACCATGCCTCTCTGATGTAGCTGGTTCGAAATTGTCCTGTTAGTTGGGAATATGATAGTTAAAAGCAGGATGTAGTGCTTGAAATTCTTTGTTTTTGGTGTGGCAGTAGAGGCTTGCATTTCACTGCCGGGAGTGTTATGTAAATTTTGTGAGGTGCATGCCATTCTGCACAAAGACATAGATAGCATTTGTTTCTTGAGAAACTTCACAATGCCAAAGTCATTGGGAAGCCCCTAAGTTTGATATGCTGCAGCCTTGGACTTAGTTCTGGATTGAAATTGACTGTTGCAGGACAAAAGCCACTGGTAAAGGGCCGCTTAGACCAATCTACTGGGACTATTTTATGTTAGCAACACACAAATTAGTATAATCTTCCTCACAGAAACCTTTTGTGTGCAACCTCAGCTATGGTTGTGCCTGTGACTCAACAAAGACATATTACTTAAAGATAATGCAGACAAAGACAACTTGAGTCCACACATTGTTTTGTACTTACAACTGAAAAGGAGAATTATGTCTCATTAAAGTCTTAATGTGACTGAGCTCAGACATGTAAAGACCAGGCATAGCTGAAAAACTCACCAGTTTTAATATTCAGGATCAGCATGCCATCTGGGAAAGGGGAGGATAACATACTAGTACTTTGGCAGTTACAGAAGGATAGAAGGCAAGTTATTTGTCTGACAAACTCAGAAACCATATGACAACTGCTCACAGGGACCACACATATTATGTGGTAGAGCATGGTCCATCAGCCATTGGCACAGGATAGGTTGATTCTTTGAGCACAGGACAGGATGATGCCCTTTCGATTTACCTTCTGCTATGACACAATGGGTTTTTGTTGTCGAGCACTGTCACATGTACCTTTTGGAGAGACAAATATTTTCCTTTTTGGATGTGAATTTCTACCACAGTATCCAAGGAAAAATGTTCATCAACATTTCAGTCATTTAGATGCAGATGATAACAAAAACATGCAACCAACAAGATGTTGATATGTTATTCATGTACAAACATGGTATACCTATCTGATTATGACATTTTATGCATGCTGGCTGAGGCAATGGCTGATCAAAATCTGCAACATGCTCTTGAAAGCCACTTTGTATGCTTTAAGGAGGGCCTTTAGGAGTAAATATTTTTAGTTGAGAGGAGGGCTTGGCCTATTTACAGTATTTTCTGCATCCTGGTGTAAACAACTTTCATTTGTGATCTGCTCACATTGGGGTGAGCATTAACTTGCACAATTATTAGAGCACAATGAGAATACTTGAAGCAAAAATGAATGTTCTGGATGCATGAAAAGAATAAGGTGCAAGGTGCATATGGGGCTTTGCACTTAATGTGTGTTGGGCCCAATCCCCAGGAACATACTTACAGGCATGATATCTGTGGGAACTGAGTTTTTTCAACCTCTCCAGCTCTAGCTGATCTTCACTGGTACACTATCCTTGAGAACCCAGGATTGCCATGTTTGCACCACCAGCTGCCTGTGGTGCACCACTAATCCCCTGGACCAGCTCTGTGCACAGTTGGGCCAATACATGCACTGCTGGTGACTGGGACCATGAACTGTGTCTGTGACTGGCAGGGGCCGTCCACCATGGCGGACGTGGACCCGGAGACCCTGCTGGAGTGGCTCAGCATGGGCCAGGGTGAGGAGCGTGACCTGCAGCTGATTGCACTGGAGCAGCTCTGCATGCTGCTGCTCATGTCCGACAATGTGGACCGCTGCTTCGAAAGGTGAGCTCGCCGCCTTCTCTTCGGCTCTCAATGGAATGTGCGTGGGGGGGGGGGGGGGGGGGGGGGGCACCTGAAGGTGATGTCGCCACCTACACCCACGGTGGGTCATGGGACCGCGGACCAGCGCCAGGACCCAGCTCTTCGGTGGCAAAGAACTTTCTTGAGGTTGTACCCATGACGTCACGAGCGGCTGCGTCACGCGGCAGCGACTGCTGGAAAGTGTAGGAACTGTTGATGCACTTACGCGCGGCGTCGTAGGCTGCGACCTGGGGACGACGTTTGGGGCTGAGGAACGAGGCCCAGGGCACTGTCTGGAAGGAGAGGGGCACAGTCTGGTTATGAACGCTTCCTGTATCAGCTAATGTGCTAGATGCTGGGGTGAGTTCCGATGGACCCTGCGTCAGAGGCATAACAAAGTTTTAAGTGGTTGGATATCCAAATACATCCTGAATTACTGGCACAAATCACACCAACCCACGTGTGACCATGCTGTGCCCACCCTGTTTTCGTACGATCCGGGCAGTCATATGACTGGTGCGGATCCGTCGGTGATGGTTGACATTCGCCGGAGTGATGGACGATCCGGCGCTAGGTGGTGCCATCGGCGGAGATAACGTCTCTCCTGGCCGCGACACAGTGCGCGACGCGGCGGACACCAATCACCGTCGTGAGACGGCTCCCGGAAGTGTGTCCGTCTCGTGCGTTCTCGTGTGGTGGCGGTGGCGCGCGCGCGGTCAGCGCCGGGCCCACGTCCGCTCCGGTCCAGTCCTCGGTCCCGCGTGGACGTGGTGGCGGTGTCGCGCGCGCGGTCAGCGCCGGGCCCACGTCCGCTCCGGTCCAGCCCTCGGTCCCGCGTGAACTGGCCCGTCCGGCTGTGGGAGAGGCAGCTCGGTGGATCGTGCGGGCAGTGCTCAGTGATGGACAGCGGGCGGGTTCGTTGTGAGAAGGCGGACTAGCGGCGCTCTGGTCAGAAGCCGAGCCCGCAGGAGGGTTCAACGCAGCGTCACTGTCGGCGCCTTGGGGTGGTTTAGGGCCCACGACGAATTATGTTTTGTTCGCATCCGTGGGAGGTCACGGCATCTCCTGCCTCATGGTACCTTCTCTCTGGTCGGCCGTTCATTCGTCACGCTCCAGTGTCTCCGCAGTGCTGGCTTCAGCCTGCGACCCATGGGAGGCCAACACGCAATGGTAGCACCGGTATTGGGGCGCGGTATTCGCGCTATGGCGCCGTGACGCAGTAGGCCGAAGCCCCCATTGCGCAAGTGGTGCTGTTCTGTTGCTTCGGAGGGACGATTTTCCGAATCATAGTTCCGTCATTGTTCCAGAATTGGTGACCACAGTGGAAGGCATAGGTGGGCCCTTGACCACGCGGGTGTGGTAGGCTGTCCGGCACACCACAGTACGTCACCGTGTCCTGATCCCGGGGGGGGGGGGGGGGGAGGCGTGCGCGGCCGGCCGTCGGGATTGGCCTGCCCCGTGACGGGACTGGGGCCCGGAGTGGGGCGGGACAGCGCTGCCGGCGGCGGCTCCCGAGCCGTGCAGGCCGCCGCCGCGCGTCTCTCGGCCGAGTGGGCGTGAGACCGCGGTGCTCCCCGGGTGGACGCGAGAAGCAGCGGCCGCTGCGGAGATCAGGGCATGACTGATGGGGCGCCGACGAAAGGAGCGTCTCGCTTTGCTGCTGTCTTTTGTCGTCCGATCTGTCTTCCCTCCCCGCTGTCTTCCCACGGGATGCAGTGTGCGAGAGGAACGGTATAGGTCCTGGATGTGTGATCTGTCGTATCATTTATGGTCTGTGTATCGACTAGAAGGCAGGCAGCCACCGTCTTATGGTCGCATTGCAGTTTTGGGGCGCTTGTCGGACGGGCGTTTGTCGAACCTGCTTCGAGCAGGCCGTGGCCTGCTCCTTCTGCCCACGTGTTCTGTACTTACCAGTCGCTTGCCTTACCCGGGATAAGGCTGGATGTGGGGGATGTTGTGGAAAATCGATGGAAGATCTGGCGTACAGACATTGCGGTGGCTATGTCTCTGCCACACCCCAAACCTTACCCACGGACTGTAAAGGCTGGCCAGACTTGGCGCTGGTAATCTCGTCGCTGGAAGATGGG